GTCGACTTGCGGGTAAGATCGTACGAACAAAATGTTTTGTTAATTAATAATACACTTTAAAATGTCTGTAACTAAACAGAAATAAGACATAAAAAAAAGTCGACTTGCGGGTAAGATCGTACGAACAAAATGTTTTGTTAATTAATAATACACTTTAAAATGTCTGTAACTAAACAGAAATAAGACATAAAAAAGTCGACTTGCGGGTAAGATCGTACGAACAAAATGTTTTGTTAATTAATAATACACTTTAAAATGTCTGTAACTAAACAGAAATAAGACATAAAAAAAAAAGTCGACTTGCAGGTAAGAAACAGAGACAAAAACTGAAGTGACTTTTAATTTTGAAGACCGTGCATCTTATTATAGTTTTGTTATTCTGAATGTAGGTATGCTGACGTAGTTTATAAATTATTTTATAACTAAAATTTGTAAACGTTTTTTCTTCAACTTTATGAAGCTCTACTGAAACAGTTTTATAATTTATTTGTAGTCCTCACATAATATTGGATTGAAATTCTTTGATTTATGTTTATAAAATAATATTGTTTTAAAAAATTATTCAATTCTTCAGATATAATATTAAGTCTCATTATTCTGTCTTATTTTTCCTTTAGAATGTAGTTCGTAAATGAAATTTTTCTATATTATATATTAATCGTAAATGTATGTTAAATTACCTACTTTTGTGAATGGTTGATATATACATGTTTAGGATACTGCTATTTGTCTAAAAATAATGTTTTATAGAATAATTTCAGGGACAATAATTATTTCATCTCATTGGTTGAAACATAGCCTCATTTGGCATAACATTTAACATACCCTTGTTATTACAGGCAAAGCATCAGCCACAATCCTTTTTACGATATGTTGGCTGCAAGGAAGAAAAAGGCCCAGCATCTAAAGTGAATTTTATCTCTATACTTATGTGATAAAATTCAAAGAATTGGAGTGCTTATCGTAGCTAATTAAAAGAGGTTTGGGGTAAATGTGCGAAAATAATATCCTGTTGCTTCAGTAAGTTAATCAATTTATCAGTGCCTTGAGGTTTTAGGAAGGATTTGACTGGTGAGTAAAGCCTGAAAGGTTGTGTAGCTTTCCTCAAGTTAGCTGTCCAGGTAGTACTTTAACTTAAATAGAATGATCAGATAAATTCATATGTTTCAAACAATATCTCTTTAAGCATTCAACCTTTCTTTCTTAGAATTAACTATTGTAAACAAGTGTAGTGAAATACATATTTATGCTATTGACAATATATTTTTCAAGAGTCTTCAGATTTTTTAAAACTACAGTTTAGAAAATTGTAGGTTTGTAAATGTTACCATTTCCATTCACTTCTTTCAAAACCACAATACGAAAATATTTAACACAAATGTTTAGGAATAACTGACTGAATTTTGTTAATTTTCCAGTAAGCTACATTTACGAAACAAGCTGCGAAAATCGGAAGTTAGTAGAAGTATTCATATTTTGATATTTCCACGCAGCTCACCCTTCAGCAGGGAAGGTGAGAACAATTTAGTTCTTTAGAGATGTATTCTTCGTAAAGGTGAACTGTATAATCACCAGTTGTTTGCTACAAGAAATATGGAGCTTGTTAGATATTTTATGTTATAATGAAAGCGAAACAAGTGTGTAAGAAGGAAAGACACTGGTCAATTTCCAGTGAAAATGTATGACATTTATTTCGAGTAACTAATAGACAACATTATACGATTTAAAGCTTCTTAGTCTTGACTCATTAGAGTTGAGTACAGATGTTAAGGATTACTTATGTATAATTTGGTAATCACTGAAGTTACTGTATTCCATTTCATTCCTTATAATATCGACAGATGTGACACTACATGAGTAACTACAAAGTAAATGTTGTGTGCATTATGTGTCTCTCACCTAGTAATACACTGTCTTGTTAGAGTGACACTTTTTTTTTTTAGCTTTATTTATTAAAGGAGAGGGTTTTATTACGTAAGTAGTTTTTCATTAGGTAAGATTTGAGCTGTTTGTTGAATTAAAGAGACAATAAAACTTAATAGCTGTAAGTTTTGGAAATATTTAATGGAATTATCACATGATTAAATCTGAAGGTATATTACGTACAACAGTATTTCTGAGAGGTTTTTTATTTTCAATCGCTGAATGTAGGGAATATCAGAAGACAGAAAAAAGGGACTTATTGGTAGCATGAAACTGTTGACCAAAAAAAAAAAGTAACATTCAGAAACAAGAGAGAAATTTCTATTAATATAAATAAAACTATGACCCACATCTCCAGAATGTATCTTTATTGGCTTCAATATTTTCCTGTTCACCCCAGCTTCAATAATAATCCAGTTGAAACTTTCTTGAGCCTATAAAGATACATTCTGGAGAGATATATATTATTATTTTGTTTTCATTAATAGAAATGTCTTCAGTTTGCATTAAAACTAAGAAAACAAAAGGTGTGAAACATTCATTTACAAATATATAATGGTTCTCACACATTTTTATGTTTTTTTTTCTCGTGTAATACTTTTATTGACCACAGGTTTTTTTTTTTACATTTTTGTAACAAAATTATATCAATTTTTAATTAATAACTTAAGTAGAATTATGTAACAATAATAATGTGCTGGTCACATACTAGATCTCATGGTGATGTATGCGTTTTTTTATTCACAACATTCAGTAACTGTATTAACATATATTTAACAAATAATTGTAATAATTAGTAGTTGTAACAGTCTGCTTCGAAGTTAGTTGTTTTTTTTTTTATGAATATCTTGAAATACTGGCTATGAATTTCAAATGATCCATCTGAAGGATTGGATTAATGCAGTGTGATTTCAATAAAATAATGTATTTAAAATGGCCACTTGGACTTGTCTGTTCGATCCGCTGAATCAGCTAGCAAGCTTAAAAATATAACTTGGATAAGAAATTCCTAAGGTTGACACTGATGACCAATAAACTTGATTTACCCAACCCATGGTCTACTTTGAAATTCCAAACAATAACTTATGTAAGAGATTATCACACTGTTTAAGTAACAACG